TGGTTAATATTGATTGTTTGACTTTAACTTGAATTAAAATCAGTAACCTAATTGAGGCATGCGACCCAATTGAAATTTTACTAAAAGTTCAATGACTGTGCATGAAATTTTCCCCTATAATTCACATTCTAATTTCTTATGCATGTTATATAAGCACGTGACTTTATGCAACAATTTAGTCGTACAAACTAAACTTGTATGTATTGGACAATAATTCAAGTAACAAATTTAAAAATTCGTAAATTTTATATTGATCTTATTACGTTCCTATTTGATGAAGATTAAAATCAAATTTTTAATAAATTTTGATAATAACTGATGAAATGTTATGTGTCCCATAAAATATGTAATTAAAATTAATTATTGACTTTAACTTTGATTAAAATTTACCAAAAAAGAGCTAAATAAAATTCATACTTCGAAAAGCATGACACATTTTATTTCTACTATCAATTTATAGCACGAGTACTGGATAATAAATTATAGTTATCCAATTTTCTAAAACTCATTTTTAACCATATGTTTCACTGACGCACAACTTTATCAATTTTTCAAACCATGCAATTTAAAAGTTCTTTCTTCTGCTGCAATTGTGGCATCAAAGGTGCCCTGTTGATAATATTTTGCAGCATAGATTCCACATTTCCATGGCATCAAAGTGCAAATATTGTACCATTAATGCTTACGCTGACTGTAGTCGCTGGGCAGGTGTGGTACCATTTCTGGGATGAACTTGCACTTAGTCACCTGCCAACTGCTGTACAAGGCAATGCTTTCAAGCTTGGAGATTCTCAGGGCACTTGTGACTTAGCCGAAACTCTTACTCTTTTACATATTCAGCACTTGTAGATAGATTTTGTGGAGCCAGATAGATGAACAACTTAAAATACACGGATCATGTATCGTGCCTAGCAAAACTATGACGAGAATTATAATACGTAGAATCGGAAACGAGGGCTAAACATGACAAAGAAAACTCGGAGGAAAATGAAGAGGAAGAAAAAGGAGAGGAAAACAACTGGAAGGCAAAATTATGGCTAAACTTTGAAATACACCTTCAAACTTCTTACGACTACATAACTGAAATTCCACTTCAGCATATTGGAAGATTTCAGAGACAAAATAGACATAGAATTTCATTTTTGGCTTGTACATAAACTTAAGTGGACATCATGCATTGGGACATCGTAATATCAGCATATCCCAGCTTCATATCAACAATACGCTTCCTTAAGCTAACTAGGTGCACCCGTTCCCTGTAGAAACAGAAGAAATGAGACGTGAGACCTTTTTTTGACCACCTTTTTGACATGAGAGCCGGAAAATCATATATAAATCCAAGGGCATTGGTTCTATATCCAAACACTTTTATCATTAGACAAGAATCAATTGCAGAATAGTAGATATGGTTCACTTTCTCAATGTTTATATCCATTCATGAAAAAGCAAATTTTAGGAAGCTTCATAAGACTAACTTGGGATTTTAACGTCATTCATTTCTATATCAATTGATGCAGTCACCACACAAACATTATTATGTTACAACCAGCTTATGATTCAAGTACAAGATAGACATCAACCACATTTCAAGCATGCAAGGATATCTCACCCCAGATATGGCGCAGTGTCTTTCCAAGTTCACTATAAAATCTTCTTGCTGCAGGATCAAAGACTTCTGCTTTCACAGCTTCCTGAATAGCAGACAAGAACTCTCGCCTTGTTTTTGCGGAGACGATCACATGATTTGAACCGTGGATTGTAGCCAGGTCCACCAGCTGAGAGAAGGAAAGAGGTAATAGTTTGCTTGAGAAATTTTAGAAACCACTCACGTAAAAGCATGAATGAAGAAATGCAAGATCTAAAAATAAAGACATTGGTTATTGGTTACTACTGTTATCTCTCTATAAATTCTCTCAGATAATTTTGAGTCAGAGAAAAAAAAAAAAAAAAAAACTTTAGAAAAGCTTGATACAAGCAAAAGATGTCAATAGCCTTCAAATAACTCCCCTTGGTATCTACTTTTTCTTGGTCGTTTGATAAATGACTACCGAAAATTATGCATATTGCTCAATAGAAATACCACATATTGTTAAATGAATTACGAATTACCATAACAGCCTCCCAGATAAGTTTTTAGAATGACTACTTAAAATCTTTAGACACCACAGATACTGGATTAGTGAAACTATATGATGCAAGAATATTAATTTTCAGGATTAAATCTAAAAAATAGACAAGCAAAGTAGAAGAGGATCTTTTTCTTTTTTCTGAAGTAAAAAATGTGAATGACCAGAAATAACTTGCCTGCTGCAACCAAGGTATTATAGAGTTCACAAATCTTTGCTCCAAGAAGTATGATGCCAAAATGCTTAAAAGGTCACTTGCAATCTTTTGTGATAAAATTTCAAGAACAGGGCCCGTTCTATCCAGAAGCTCAAACAAAACAAGTTCATTACATGAACGTATAGCTTCCATATATGCCAAGTCTAGATCCCCACCAGACAAATAACTTTTCACAACATTCCATGAGCTATTGTTGGTTTCTGGTTTATTTAGCCGAGCATTAGTAGGCATCGGTGCAAAGACATTGTTACTTCTTGGTAGGTCACCATGAATTTTTGGACCAGATATTGTCAGTGTGCCCTTCCCAACAGAATTTCTGCTTAGCTTAGGAGTGGTATCGATCCACATGTCCATGGCTTGTTTACTAAGGTTGCTTGGTCTGGTCCTAGTACAAGTTTTGTCCTCCCAAACATCTGTATTTTTGGTTTGAAGTATTGCAGGCTGTCTATTGCGCATATCCACGGATGACCTTGGAGTGCATGTAGAAAGTCTAGGAGAAGCTATGCTAGGACTTCTTTTCAAAAGTTTTGTTGCTAATGCATCTGCATATCTTCCACCATGAACAAGTTCTTGTGCCATTTTATCAACCACTTGTTCAAGACTGGACACCTTCAACTGTACTGCTGACATGCTATCCATTACGTTGTTTGTGAACACCTAAAATAGAAATACGGAACTGTTTATCAGAGCATAATAGAATATCAAAATACCTGACATGAAAATCACGTAAACTTACTTAAAAATAAAAAAAATTGGTCATTAGATAGAAAAAATGGGGAAAATACAAAAATACAGGACTACAACTTGTCCTTTGAAGGCCAAATGTTTTATTAACAGGTGTAATCAATTTAATATTGGTAAATAGATTTCAAGATCTTAGTCTCTTGCCTCAAATTTTAGGCATACCACGTGCCATATGCTTACTTTCCTGTAACAAGTTCTTATCTTACACAAATACTGGTTCATAAAAAGGAGTTTTCTCTGCTGTTGAAAACTTAGAGCTCCTCTTAAAAAGGTCAGAAAAGCAAGGCGGAGTGTAGTTGTTAAAACTCACAAGTCTAGTTTGTATCTAATAAGTCAGCTATGATGAAGAATCAACCTTACCTTTAACAAATCCATCAAGTTTGACTGCTTACTTTCAATCTCTAAAAGCTGCTTCCGAATCAACACCAATTCTTTTTCTGTTTGTGAACAACAGCCATGCATTATGTGAGAACTTGATTCAGTAACAGTGGAATCCAAGCTCCTGCGATCGCGCATGTTAGCAACATATCTTTGCTCTTCTATACTGACTTCTTCAGCAGCAAACCGCTTGCTAGTTCCAGTTGATTTCACCAAACTGACATCATCAAGAACATCACAATGAGCTGTGACAATCTTTGACTTGATGCTTTCAGAGAAAAGATCAGAAACAGAAGATGATTCCTGTTTGTCATCTACATAACCATTATCTTTGTCACTCATGTCAGCATTGGTGATTTCACATCTCTTGGTAACCGAGCTACCCTCGGATTCTTCATTCTGAATGTCTGCCACAGAAATTGTATGACTTTTTGGAACTGCAATTTGTATTTGCCAATCATTTGTTTCAGAATTCTGAGGTTTTTCAACATGATTTCTGAGTGGATTTCTCAAAGATAGAACCCTTCTCTTGGACAAGTCACCACCAAATTTCTTCAGCGTCGAGTCACCAGTGCTAGTAACATCACAATAGTCATCTCTATATGCAGTTTCTGCATGAGTGAACGAGTGTTACATACAAATATACCAAAGCCTGTAACACCAATGATGATGAAACAGAAGATAGGCGCACGGCTGCATCAGACAACAGAAATTAAGCAATTGTGTAAAACTCTCTGATGAATTTATCTTAATGAAATCTGGACAATATGCAGTTGTGTTTTGTCTTTTTACCTTTTCTGCCTTTTGCGTCTAGGTCCGTGGAGTTAACTACAATCTTCTAATTTCTCAGTACTCACAGGCCTATATTAGATTTCTAGTCGTTGGTACTCCTCATATCAGTGAAGCTCAACATTATTGCTCAGGAGTGAGATATGTTAGTGCATGGTATAAACATAAAAAAACTTAAAGTCCCAATTACAAAAACTGACTCATCGAGGAAAACTATATGATACAAGGACAGCCTGTACTATGTCATCAACAATTAAACTCTCTTCAGGGTTAGATCCACTGTCTAGGTCGATCAACAATTAAACCAAAAAGTCATTTTCCATTAAAAATCTTAAATTAGAAACAATTATTTATTGTAAACATCAATCAACATAAAATTAGCACACTAGGTTTGATATTAGATTAACTTGAAATATACAGAAACCTCATTAAAAAGGTGTAACTTCATCGCTAATTATCCAATTTGCAGAAATACCAGGGTTTATGAACTAATTATAATCAACTGTATGTGCTAAAGGTATTAGGTTCTTGTAGAAGTTGACCCCAGAAAACATCACTAAATCCATAGAGATTGATAAGTGTGCAAGTCAGTTCAAGTCCCATGTCAACAATGTAAAAGGAAGAACGTCTTTCGAAATTTTCCCAACAGAAAATGTAAAGCTAGCATTAGATCAAGTAACAAAAGCAATAGATCCAGCAGCGACTCTGTATCTGGTTGTTGCTAGCACATAAAAGACCATGGCACTTTTGACCTAACCTTTGACAAAAGATCCAGCTTCTGAAGGTTCAGGAGTAGCAGACCCTAGAAGATTTTTCCAGAGATGCAAGGCCTGCAGAGCTGTGTCTCTAACCGGTTTCACCTACATAAAGAGAAAAAAGAATATGAAAACCCAACTTAAGCATTAGCAAATTGAAGCTCATGGAGTAGTAATTATTGAATGACACAGCTAACCTTGTCGAAACGACATGATTCTAAACTGCCAATGCATGAAGACCTAAAAGAACCTAGGCACACTCCACCACAAGAAGCAATATCCCTTAATGCTGAAGAGGCAGCTTTGCGTGTTGCCCAATCACTGTTCTTGAGTGCTTCCTGAATGCTAGTTATTGCAGCAGATAAAGCACTATGAGTTGCAGCACCACCAGCCTGAAACAGTTTAAGAAGAAACTAAATTCATATTGATTTTATAGCAAGGCACTCTGCTATATGTTAGAAACGCATACTAAAATTATATAGCAAGATGCATTATCCAAATAATGCATAGCAGGACAGAGTCAGAAGACACCATCCTTCTATTTCCAGTATGGGGTTATTAATTTCCTAGTGTTGAATAGAAATGCTCAGGCATAATAATTTTTAAAACTCAAGGAACAAATGGAAGGCTTTACATGATAATGCATCGATTCTTAAAGTAGAACTATCGTTTGGTAATTATTAAGCTAACACCAATACGCCAGAATACTTTTCTTCCAATGGGTGCTCAGTATTAATCATAAGACATCTACACATATCAGCAAAGGACGCCAGAATGGAGAAACAAATCAAACAGAAAATTTATGAGCACTTGGGAGAAACAGACCTGAATGATACTTCTATTCAACTCAATGATTGCTGGTTTTGCCATGAAATGAGGATTCTTAAGCAACTTAACAGTCCTTGCCAACATCTTCTGCAAAATTGAAGCAGGAGGATTGTGGATGCTGTCAATGACCCGCGACAAGCACAAGGCAGAACCAAACTGCACCTGCTTGTTCTGCTCACCCAATGATTCGAAAAGAGGCCTCACCAGCACAACAAAGACGCCATCATTTTCCCCAACACTGCCGTTCAACTTGGAAGCCAAGGTTCCCAATGTTTCTATGCATGCATCCCTTACAACAGAATCCGAGTCCTTTAGTCGTTTAACAATGCTAGCTACCATCTTCCCAAGATAGGTTCCAATTAGACCCTCATGAAAAGTAGCGAATACACCCAGCAGGCGAACACATTCTTTACGAACCATGCTTTTTTGCTTGGAATCAGTGTCTAATATGCAAGACAGAAATGGGGCAACCCCATCAGGGGTCAAGCATTCTATGGTTTCCTCAAGCTCCTCAACCCCAATCTGGTAAGTGTCCCTGTCTGCAAGTTTGTTAAGTGCAAGAATCACACGATTTTTCAGCTCGAAGACAACCTGCTGACTATTCACCCGTGTATTTCCTTTCCCTTTCACCATATTTATATGTGCCTTTATTTCATTCACCTTTACACTAAACCGTGATTTTATGAGATTTTAACTATGGCATTAATCTTTAAACTTCCGACCCATGGCTCTGCCCTTCAACATTCAAACATAGCATGTCAAAAAGCTATCAAATGTTTAAAAGCTAAAACATAAAGATCCATTCTATGCTAAATAATAGCATCTTAAATTATAAAAGTTGCAAATAACAAATTATAAACTACAGCAGACAACTTAAATAAAGGTATAACATAGCATAAATAATCCTTGTCTCTCTAGAAAAAGACGATGCCCCATTTGGTTGATGAAAAAGAAACACATAATACACACTTGGAAGAAAAAAAAATATATTAAGAAGTATTCAACTAACTTTACTCCAATCCTTTCAAGACTCAACAAAATAAAATCAAGAAATAACGAAGTGCCCAGAATTTGTAAGTAACCGATAACATTTACTAAAGCTTAGAATGAAATTTTAAGCAAAATATAAACAATAAACACGTAGCTACACAAACACAAACAGCAAACTGGCAAAGCGTATTCTCCGAAACAGAGAAATATTCAATTTTTTACAAAATAAAAAGTGCCCAAAAAATCCAAAAAAAAAATATAGCTAGAGCAGAGAGTTACATGTAAGAGTAGGACAAAGCACTTTGGGTCTTCTTGGGAGAGTTCTATTGACTATATAGGAATGAAAAACAGACATTGCTAGTATTGCTTCGGAACTGGCAAAAGAGAGAGTGAAAATCCCATTTTATTCAAAAATAAAAAATAATGGCATTTACTAATTTGAATGTTCAAATTTGAAGATAATAAAAGACGAATCTCAATGTGCAGAAAAAGAAGTCAAGAAGCAGAGTTCGAGAAGAGAGAGAGAGAGAGTGTGTTTTGGCGGTTTGGATCACATTTCGAAATTTAGTGGGAGCGTTTGGTACGTGGCCATGTGTGGGCCTTTCTTCTACTCTTTGCATAGAATTTGGTGTTTTGATGAAAATCAGAAAAAAAAAAAATTGAGAATCTCATTTTTTAAAACATTTTCAACGTTGGAAAAAGTAAAAGTTTAATAGTCAAATCAAGTACTACTAATCAAGTACTATTGTTTCGTGAGCGAATGAATCTATTTCCATTTAATTCAACCTAAGCCCCGTTTGGCGCATATTTTTGAAAAAAGAATGCATTTTTACTGTTGATGTGATGAGGAATATGTAGTTGAAAAAGAAGGAAAAGTTATTGATGTGATGAAAAATATTATTTTATTGAAAAATGTGTTATTGAGAATGAGTAGAAGAATGAGAATGAAAAAATCATTGTGGATCAAACAGGGCCTAAAAAAAAATTATTTTTACTGTAGATGTGATGAGGAATATGTGGTTGAAAAAGAAGGAAAAGTTATTGATGTGATGGAAAATATTATTTTATTGAAAAATGTGTGGTTGAGAATGAGTAGAAGAATGAGAATGAAAAAATCATTGTGGATCAAACAGGGCCTAAAAAAAAAATTCATATTCGGTGAGAATTATTTGATTTTGGTTATTTTATTATTAAAAAATGTAAAATTGCCCTTTTAACATTTTTAACGTAGTCAAAATTATTGTCAAAGTCAATTATTTGGTCAATTAACAGTCAAACTAACAGAAACCATTCATTTAGACTTCAGTTGCGACATTTTGAAAGGTTTGGTATTATGGGTAGCACTAATGAAAGATTTAGTATTATGAGTGGCACAAATAAAAGGTTGGGACAAAGTCTGCTACAAAATGAAAGATTTGATATGATGCTGCAATTATCCATTGTTTTAGAACCCTACTTTGTTGTCTGCATATACTATATTGTTTTGACAAATGACTCCGCTAAATGTCGAAGTTTTTGAAAGTCAAAAATTAATTCTGAGATTAAGAAGACATTTTTTAATATATTTGAATAATTTAGAATAATTTGTATGGAAAAAAATATTTAAAACAATTTAATTGCCTAGAAATTAACGTTTTCCGCACTTAAACCAATTTAACTTATCCAATTTTGATAATATTTTAAACTCAATCAATATATGGAAAGAGTGCAATATATATATAGCATTTTTGGCAGCTTCCGACTGTCCCAAAGCCTCGAGCACGTTGAGCCCTGAGAAATGGAAATTGAAATACATTAAACTGGCGTTAAACACCACTTAATGTTTGGCGCATTTTTGAATGGTTCAGATTGTGCTACCTCTAGTTCTAACATGAGCCAATGGAATTTGAAATTTTAAAGATTTTTTCTCCAAACAAAAATTAGTGAAGAAAATTGGAAAGGGAATCATGAAATGTTTCAACTTACAAGTCTATCTTTTTTTAAAATCTCAGATCGGCTCCATTTGTCACATCCCAGCCATGCATACTAGGTAATTTAATAGAATACATACAGCATGATTATGATTATGATGGCCGCTGCAAAATTAAACTTTAGCCCCTGTTTGGTGCACTTTTTTTTTTCCCAAGAATGCTTTTTTTTATTTTTTTTGATGTGATGGAAAATATTATTTTATTGAAGAATGTGTGGTTGAAAATGAGTAAAAGAATGAGAATGAAAAAATAATTTGGCTCAAACAGGGACTTAGTCTTGAAAAAAAATGGAAGTTGGGCAAACCCGGTCGACCCTTGGGGGTCCCACCGGGTTTTAAAACAATGGTTTCAGCCATAGGATCACTTACAACGCTTTATAAGCAAGTTGATGCAAACTCAATCAGAACTTGACATTACCTTTATAAAATCGAAAAGGACTAAAAAAAAAATTGAACAAAAGAAACACGAGTAATGAAACATGTTGCAAAAACTCGGTGTAAAATCAAAATCTTGGTACTGCTAATCTTACAACTGAAACGAAAAAGCGATTGATTCTGAAGCTGGGAAAGAATATCGAGAAATTGAAAACTGACTTCCCGGTTCATCTGCAATTCTTATTCATGGAGTTTTAAGAACCCGGCTACGATATTCTCCTAAAGCCCAAATTGGAAAAATATTCCTGTATGCGGCATAAGTGATCATGCAATTCTTATTGAAGACTCCCATAATTTCCTGGAAACAAGAAGACGATAGAAAGGGAAAAAAGTTACGAGGAAAAGCCGTTAATTGAACTGTTATTCAAGGAAGTTAGATATATCATCATAGTAAAACATTTATCGTATCCAAAAAAGTCCGACAATGTGGGAACAATCAACCGACATGTACACCACAACCCTCTTATAACCTATTATGAGATTAGCATCTTCAAAACTGACGTTCGACTGCATAACATTATTGCATGCGATAAGTTCAATTGATTATTAGTATATGTGTGTATTTCATACATTGTACATTATTCACTGACTATGATTATATATTTAGGACAAATCAAAAGCTTTCAGCTCTGTAATAACTTAGGCTGCAAGTCAATAGAAATACCTCTTGTGGAAAATCACCATTTTCACACTGAGAATTTATTAGGAGTTTTGCTGCACGGTGTAATGGTGCAGGATCTCTCTCTGCCTGCAGAGGAGTAAAGATGAATGAGGAAATTAATGTGTTTGTGATATTTAAGACAATCTGGATATACGAGAAGGGAAATGCAAAAGGCAGTGAAATGCCGATCACATCTATAATTTAACATAGAATCATGCTGATCCAGGATAAAACTAATTCCACAATATCAAGTCAAGATGAGCTGCATATGGTTCATCACGAAAATTGTAACAATTAAACAAATACCAAAAAGATGAAGTGCAAGAAACAAAATGTCATCACGGAGAAGACATGCAGGCAAAAAAAATGTTAAAAAAACAGACTTCTACAAGTCCTTGCACTTCCTTTGTCGACTTTTTACAAGATAAATAAAGACTCTTCATAAATGAATTATGTTCAAGATCCTGAGAATCACTGTAAATTTAACTGTTAACTTTTTTTATCTTATATTGCTCTTTGACTTTGGTAAGCATAAACCTTAAGCAAATCAGTCCATCCTGACGCGCCCCCCACCAAAATAAAAAATAAAAACAATAAAAATAAGAGACCGCCAGGGGTTGATGACAATCCATTTGATTTATTGCAAATGGTATATAGATACCTGCCCAGCAGCAATGAGAGCCAACACAGCCCATCCTGTATTTACCACATGAGCCTTGTTGCCTTCAATATTTGAATATACCTATAAAGATAAAGCATTAATATAATTGTTGTCAACAATTCATTTTGAAATGGGAACATTTCTGGCAACGGAACTTTGAGTGACTGTTAAAATTGAAATATACTTGCAACAAATTTCCAAGCAGTACTTTCAAAACAAGAAATTCTTGTGTTAAAGTTACTTATTTTATGTATTTCATTGGAAAAAGATGTTACGTATTTTATCCATTATTTCTTCTTTTATTCTGTCTAAGAGTGCCAAAAATCACGTAGTAACAAGAATAAGCAAATTCATACGACATAATCAGTTTAGTCACTTTATATACAATATACAAACTGATGCGAAAATTTCAAGTCTGTTGCTGCTCATCAAGTGCAGAAAATTGCCAAAATGGTATCATGATCCGATTAAGCAGTCAGTCAAAGTTATCAAGGAAATACATCATGGGATTACTCTTATTGTACCTGTCTGCAAAAGTAAGATTTTAAACTGTCACTAAAGGTATCTGAGGAAGGGAGATTTTAAACTGTCACTAAAGGTATCTGAGGAAGGGAGAGCGACTGAGTCAGTAATCAGTCCAAACAGGCTATCTTCAAAAAACATCTGTCTAGTTGTCCCAAAAAGCAGTAGCAAAGGGGCTGGTATAGAATCTCGAATCTTCAATCAAAATCTACCTCTAAATTGTCCAAGAAACAGGCTAAGGTTTCTGCACATTTTCAAGTGTTTCAGAACAGTTTCTGCTCTCCAGAACCATGATTCAAGATGCCAAGGAAACTACACTTAGATTTATTTGATTTTTCTCTAACACCTACTATTTCATTCTATCTATTAGAAGCTTTACTTTAGTAATTATCATTGTAGCATTACAACTTCCACGTATTTTCTAAAGTGGCCCTAGGGCCCAAGGCCATTTCTTCTAAGAAAAAGGACCAAATTTATATCATGTATCACCAAAAGAAAGGATAAGGAAAAAACAACCAATCACAGAAAAGAGTAAGATATTATTATAGATAACATCACCAACCTTGTTCTGACATGAAAGATAGCTCTCTCCCCACCCACCAGAAGGAAGCTGTTTAGACAACAGAAAATCACAAGCTTTACTGATGCTAGAGCAATTGTTGAAGTTTCGTCCAGCAGCAAGCAGACCTAATATCCCAAACCATGTCCCATAAGTAAAGCAAACACCCCAAGAGCCATACCTGTCAAGACATTTTTAACATTTAAATGCATATTAATCATGGACGAAAGATAATGTTTGGAACCACGTTAATAATTATAACTATTGAGCAAGAAAGGCTGGAAATCAATAGGCTGGGGAAAACGGAAAAGTGATACTGGTACGAAAATTATATATTAGAAAGTCTCATATCCCTCCAAATATGAGAAGGGGTGAGAAAGAGAGCAATGAAACTTACCAAGAACCATCCTTTGCTTGTATCTTTTCAATGAATTTAGCAGCTTTTTCAATACAACGTTCGACTTCCTCTCTTCGGTGCCCGGGGTATAAGTTCTTAAATGCTGCCAAAGCTTGAATAGAAGCCGAGGTACATTCAACATAGCTACATAGCCATTGTACTTTGTATTATAATCAAAAAATCCGATGACTGTAGAATCTATGACCAAACATTGTATGAATTCAACTCTACAAAGGAATTGGAGGTATATAAGACAATAATTCCATCCATGTCAGGGACTGCTTTTGATGTCTACAAAGCTCTCATGGTTAAGTCAGAGACCTCCCACTATGTTACTTATTCTCAATGCATTTAAGTATCAACATCAAACAGACGAATGCGTGGAACGTGTAAGACATATGTGCATCATCATAACTAGGAAAACATATAAAATGTTGATTTATTCTAGAACTATTTTAAATAAGCATGGCAAGCCCATATGAACCAGTTTTATATAACTTGGATATCATCGTCAGATATATTAAAGACAAAGATTAAGAAATATTAAGATTATGTTGTGTCCATGTATCCCAGTCTTTGAGGTTTGACAGACATGCACACACCCATAACCCAAGTCCACTTAACACATCCTCCCAAGGACCAGCTCTAGTATAATGTCAACAATAGTTCTTCTAATTGCTTTTGTTAAGATAAAAAAACCTGACTAAAATGTAAATCATAGTGTAGAAGTAAAAAATTAATACAAAGAAGCAGTTGAGCAGATATCTCACGGATAATCAATGACAATGTCGCCAAAAGTTTCAGCAGGGTTGATTAGCTGCACAAAGGGAAATGATCTTCATAAGCATCAGATTAAAAGCTTATAGTATAATCCACAGACATGAAAAGGCATGGAAAACAATCAAGTCTGTGTACATAGAAGTGAGACTATTGGCTGCTTGGATATCCTCTTCATAGTAAGATACACATTTAAACATAGTACCTCCATCCAACTATAGGATCTTGTAAGTTCATAAGTAGCAAAGCCACCTCCATCGTTCTGCAAGTAAGCCAGAAAAAGGTTTCCTCAAAGATTTGCAAAAAAGTGTGTGTGTTCTTTGACGCATAAATATCCATAAATGCAGAAAATACAACTGACACAGCCCATAAGGAGATCAGTAAAGAAGAAAATGTTTAAAATTGTTATATGATCTAGAGGAAGTCATTTCCATTTTAAATTTTATCTTATGCTCTTACTTTAGGATTATCTTTAATTTTTTTAATTAAATATAGTTGGGATTCTCAGGTTCGGAATATTTCAGTAATTTTCAACTTCATTTTAATGTATATAGTGAGAAAAACATTATGTCAACCACAATTTTATATGTTTTTATTATATGTTCAAAAGAATTTCCAGAAAGAACTCCATGACAGATAAAAAAGTTAAAAAGTTAACATATCCAGTTTCTTCATTGCTTGGACACAAATTGTTTGAGACTCACTGTAGAGTCCCGCTGCCCACATGTGCCTGTATTTAAAAAGTTATTATTCTTTTCCAATATCAAGTTATCCTTTCAATCTAACATATGTCCCAAGACTCTCAACTCACCTATCATTTTCTGCTAAATTTCACAATGAAGCATTTAAACTATGCTAGCAACAAAATCTAGAAGTTAAAAGATAGCCTTCTAAATTGTAGTGGTAGTAAATTTACTTCCACCTCTGTAAAATTATCCCTTACCACATGAAAACAACATAACTATTTAACATAGCTGCAAACATCACTGTGTAATGTATTTCAACCAAAATAATCAAATTAAAAGATTGCAATACCTGTAATGAAAGGATGACATTTACAGCATCATACAACCGCCTGGAATCCAGCGGTTCACCAACAAGTTCTGTTGGTAATTTCGATAATAAGAGAACCGCCTAAAGAAAAGACTAGGTTATTACTTATAAAGAAGAGATTATGAAGTATCGAATTTGTGTGTGCTCATGTTTCTTCATGTTAAACTTATTATTACTTTCAAACCCTCTGCTGTGCAATCTGAAATGGGCCATCCGTGGTCTGCTGTTGAAAAGGGCCAAGCACCTTTCGAAATGTGACGATACCATAAACTAAGATCGCCAGGGCAATCCTCTAACACCTTTAGCTCAACAAAAAGGCAATCGTAAACCAACTAACATGGGAAGTTCAGAAAAAACTGATAATAGGGGAATACATACCACAAATGATATTAAGGAAAGAAGAATTTTACCTGTGAATTTTTTATGTAAGTATGTGCTTTTCTTAGAGTTGGACCAAAGTCTTCCACAAGATTTGTCGAAAGGATGGCTTGAACAGTGAAGGCAGTGTCCCATAATTGACTTCCATTATAGCCCTGCAATACAATATTTTTCCCAAGTGGTCTTATATCTTCCTTAGATCATCGAGTGGAAACAGAATCACGATACGCATGAAAAGCCAAACCACTGTAAAGAGTGTAATTATCATGTCAAAGAATGACACGGATCAACAATTATGTATCTAAATTCCAAATATTTGAGTACTACTCATGCCTGAGTTAAATTTGGATACAAAATCAAAGTCAATCTAGAAAAATGGCAAGTGGTATTCAAACAAAAATTGGGTGCTATAGGCATAGAACAGAACACCATATCTGGACAAAGGAGATTGTAGCAATGTTGATATGTTCAAATTTGAAAGCTCGTATGCTGTAGCATGACACAAATGTCATAATTCAGAAGTCAGAGGAAAGAGATGTAATAGGTTTTGTTGTGTACTTGACCCTTTCGAGAGCACCTTCTGTAGAAAGCCAAAGATTTTTCAAATTTAAGTGTGAGCTACATTTTGTCCTAATGACCTGGGGGCAAAAATTAATTCTGATCTGAAAATAAAGATGTCCAAGTAGCCAAAACAATGATAACCAGTAAATTTGCCTGAAACAGTAGCAGAAGAATTAACCAATTCTACGCTAAATGATCCTAAAGTTTTAGAATTCTGACCTGCATTTTCATGCCATCTTCAGCGAGCCACAGGTAATCATAGACTCTTGGGAGATGCAACTTAAATGCTTCAGAATTTGGATCTTCCACCCAACAGCAAAGCATGTTTAACACCTGATCAGTTCATTTTTATTTATTTTTTTGGGGAGGGGAAATAAAAAGAAAAAGAAATATATTAACAATTGCAACCTCCAGCTTGACATTTTACATTGAAACCACAGGAAAAAGACAATGAAAGAAATGGCATACAGACTTTTAAACATATACGTTATAAAAGTCGAAAGGGGAAAGGTTAAATGAAAAATGACCATCTAAAAAATGTTGCATAAATCAGCCGAGACAGAGAAACAAATAAACACTCCAACTTATGCAATTGGAATAGCTTATTTTGAATGGATCAGATTTTAAAGAGGGTAGACTTAATATTTCTCATCTTGTACCCTTATGGGTCACAATTAGAATTAGGGAGAGAGAAGGTAGAATAGGGGAAGTGTGAAAGAAATAAGTGTAGGTCCGTCCAGTGTAAATAGCTTTTCATTTTTAATTTAAATTTCATTATTTTGAAGCATCCTAATGAGAAATGGTGTCCTTCAGAACCTTTTTCATCAAATTCAGCTCTAATATCATCAATATTCCCAATTTTGACCAAGTAAACAGAAACTTCAACACATCCATACAATAGTCGGAAACTCTGCAAGCAGACCTTGTTTACAGGGCCTATGCATAAATAGCGAGTATTTTCATCCTCATAATGTATGTGCTCTATTACAGTACGAAGAGCCTTCTCTCTTAACTTTTTCCCAGGCCAACGCATAAAAATAGGTTCCAAAAGCTTATCAAGAGATGCCCACAGAATATCCTGTATAAGAGGGTGTGGATAGTATAGATCTTCCTGCAGTGACATCACATAATGAAAGAATGTCAGTGAAAAATGAACAATACCATTGGAGTGGAAACGGTTAGCATATTCTACTTTACGAATCATTGCCTTTGCAGACAATTGACAAATGGTGAATATTAATATTCGAAGAGTCTAAATTATTCATTTCAAACAGAAGGTGTAGGCACATTCTATTCATTAAGTGGGATGCCACTGCTTGCGGTGGTGGGAACATTCTTTTGTAATCTTTTCTTGACTTTTTCTTCCAAGGTTTGGATAGAGTGTCCTAAGAACATGCTAACAAATAATGAATTACAACTGACAGTGGGTTGCCAACAACTGACAACATTAAGACACTTGAGATCATTAGTAATGTTAGGAACTAATAAATAGATCTGACCAACCTTTGCACATTGGTTCCGTGCTACATTCCAGTCTATTTCATGATATGGAATTGTATATAGCTCCTTTCTCAACGACAGAATGATTGGTGTAATTGGACCAACAAACCTCTTCCCATACAAGTAAGACATAGGCAGATAAACCATTCGACAGTGACACCACATCCTTCCTGCAATATCAGGAAAAAACTTCTTTATTAGAGGAAACAACATTTGGAAACCATTTGATTCATCCTCGCCGAAGCACTATGCTCCAAACATGAAAATGATGAAAGTGTAAATAATATTCCAGTTGTGAAAAGGATTTGAATAAGGGCACCAAAATATAATGATTACACTAATCAGAAAAGTTGTGCAATGCTAAAAAGGGTTAAATCTGATGCATTGAGTGATTGCTGATAAACTTGATGCTTAAAGATACCTTTTCATTTCTCCCTCTGAAAATCTCAAGTTCCATGCCCAATTATGTGTCAAGTCATATTAGCATATCATAATGAGACATTATTACAAGACAGAAAATACCAATAGTAGTATGCCAAGGTAACTGTCGAGGAGAAGAAAAAAGAAAAATTCATTCAAAAGCACAGCTTTGCCATTCAAGTAGAACAAATAGCGTTGCACAGGTCGTATAGAAATCAGTCCTGATTAGATATAAATCTGCAACTTTAACATCACTTGCAAGAACAAAAAGGAAAGAAAGAACTATTAGGGGAAAAAAAGATGGGCAGAAGCAAAGCATAGACGTGCAATTACCTGGATGGATTGGAACGATATAAGGAAGAAGCCATATCTCAGGTGGCAGAGGATTGTTTCCAGACCATTCAAATACTCCAAGTACCTAATACCATCAACACGAAAGAATATTAACAAATGGTAAATATATGTGGTGAAAACAGAAATCACAAAAAAGCAAGGTAAAGGGGAGTTTCAACCGAGAGCCACATTTTCCCCCAGGAAGTAATTGCAGTGGCACCACCATGATCCAGAATCCACTTCTGTCCTTTCTCCATTGCACCATCTCCATCATTTGCTTCTTCACCAAGCAACCTCAGGGTAACATAATTCAACACAGAACCGAACATGGTGCTTGGGCCCTCAATGTGTAAACCCCATCCACCGTCACGGTTCTGCAGTTTACAAGGTTTAATTAGAAATTTATTCGTGCTGCTTCCCAACAGCACAAAAGAAGAAAATTAAATTATATCAGAAATAAATGTTGAAAATCCAGATAACATGTATACAAATTTTATGAAAAAACGCATTGCAGAAGTGCCTGCTAAAAATACACTATCCTTACCTGATGATTGTACAGATACCGGCACATCTCACGCTTGTGCTCTTTTGACAAAATAGCATTTAATGCCCCGGTAACATACAAGGTAATGACCTGTTCCATCAAATTGGAAAGAACAAGAAAATTCATAAACAAGTGTGTACACTAGAAAAATCTACCTCTTGGGCATCCAACAAGTAGAAATATCCACTTAGATTTTAAGAAACGATGAGAGGGAAAAATCAACACTTACCAAGCCAGGCATTAGAAACATGGGACCCCCATAATCTCCTGGCCAGTGACCATCATGAGCCTGTATTGTTGAGTGGAAACCGATGGCTCTCCTCAACGTATTTACTACTTTATCTTCTGTAATATCTTCTAGCTCCTTTACCCTAACTTGGGGCAACGCTGAGGAGCTTTGATTTTCCTTTGAAAACTACAATCCATTAAAATGAAGATGAATTATGTTAAGAAAAAATTAAATAGGCACTCTTTCCATAATAAAAACATAAACATGACAGTTCAACTCACCATTTTCAGCATAAAGGTGTAGTAAAATTATATTGAACCACCTGCCCGAGGATAGATATATGCTGAACTTTGCAAGAGAAAATTCAATTTGTACTTTTTTTATGAAAAATGATTTTATTGGTAAGAGGAAATGTTAAAAAGGTACAGAATGTACTCATCAAAAACATGTAAAGAACTGCATCTGAAGTACAAAAACAAAACTAGAATATTTCATTCCATGTTATTAGGCACCTATTAAGGTGAGACCATGAAAAGAACTGGCTGCCGTTGCACCCTAAATCAAGAAGCAAGACTAGAATATCCCACTAACCGAACAAAGGAGAGGAAAGCATCCTGGAAAGTTCTAGAATTCCCCTATATTCAAATAGCTCAACGATCACCATCATAGCACATTTCCAGAAAATCAGTCCATCTCTATTGCCAAAACCCTCCCATTTTAATAAGAAAAAGTTGACTCGAGGAAGAAAAGAAATCAAAAAATTCCCCAACAATAATAACAAACTACATCTAATTACCAGTAAACTAAGAGTTGACCATATGAATCCTTTTTCCACCACTTTGTGTGGTTCATCGCTACATCCGCTGAAAAATTTAATATAATCAAAACAGCAAACACATCATATAGCCGTTAGTTTTGTTCTACCCCTCGGTCATCTTTTTTGTTTTACTTGAACCGCACCAGCATTTTTAAGGAGAACTTTAGGTCTATGCAAGGCATGTCTGACAACACAATTGTTTATTCCTATGATTTATCCTTAATTTTGTTAACTCTATTTGTTGGTATATATTCTCATTTCTTATTTTTCCTATTCTAGTACAGTCACAAATTCATTTTATAGACATTTTATCCAACATTTGTTACTATAAAGCATAATTGGTCTAATACTGCTCTATAGAACTTAAATTTTAACTTTATAGATATCTTCTCATCCAACTCACTCTAACCACATGCATTTCATCATCTTAAAATCCATTTTCCTTCTTCATAATCGACTTAAATACTTAAAAATTAATCATTGCTTAAGATAAAGTTATCCTCTATAGTGATTCCACCACCATTTCCTTATCCCTGTTGTGGCTAAAGGAACGCTCTATTCACTCTATCCTAAATTTACTTAAAACACTTACATTCCAAAACGAAAAATGTTTCTCCAAAATTCCAACTTACAATTCATCATGCTCATAGTCTTATCAGCTAAACCAATGTAATAGCAATAAGATACACCAATAGACCTATTTTGAATAGGTCTCAGTGGCCACTTCCTTTTATAATCTTTTTCATCAATTTGGTATACCTCAAGCCCATATGAAAATTCATCGAACTCCCACTCATTTGAGTAAATAACTATTGCAAGTGGATACTAATAGAACTAATTACATAACTTTTGCTCAACTCAGACAATTACTTGAATATACATGCACATACAAATATGTTGTCATCTAAGCTTAGCGTTGTTATTTTAAGCAATAAAACGATTTTCAATCACCAGTCTCATTTTATTTATTTTTTAATCCTTATAATGTACTATGGGTGTGTTGAAGGATCACGTTTATTAAAAGTTAAGTACCCATTAGTTACATCTGAGAAACAATTACAGAATATGAAAAATAAATATGAACACCTGCATACACTATAAATTGTACAAGCTCAGTAAGGCTTTGTTATGAACGGGAATTGTTTAGTAACGGGAAATCAAACAAAATAAAGAGGAGAGGAGAAGGGTAGGTTTATTCGAGGAAATCTAGACCTCCCAATAGCATTGGTTTTCAAGGAATCATTAACCTCCAAACCAAGAGTGGCAAATAATTCATTCATATCCCTTCTCATTGAAGGTCTAGATTTTAAATACAAGATAATTTAACCTAAAACAAAGGAGCATTAACTGCTCTATAATCCCCCACTAGTAATAAAATGCAACTACTAAAGTATAGAAATGTATTGACGACTGGCATTAAAAGAATAAAGACACAAAAATGGAGCTAAATAAGGGCTTCACTGAACTTGAGATCTCATGAGAAGATCAGAGGAGTGCTTTTTCTCGAATCGCTGGTCGCTGAATTGCTCACGAAACTTCTCGATCTCCAACAGCTCTTCCGGAGACCCGGCGTTCGAATCAAACTCCCAGATTTGCCTACCGACATGACCGTTCACACTGCGCAGCCATGGGTTCCCTCCCTCAGCAATTTTCAGCTTCCACATTTCTATATGCAGTAAAATCCTCGTTAACAAATCAGTCCACTAACTCGTGGAAAATAGAAATGAATAATGATTACTACAATATCTTCGTATCTGGTGAGAGAATTTGTCATTTTTCTCGACGTTGTAACCAATGAGCCATTTTTACATTTTCTTGAGCAATGTCGAAGAAATTAAATTAAAAAATTATGATTCGACCAACACAAACAGATCGTATACACTTTACAGTGTGCAAAACAGAATACTGAATCAAATCAAAAACTCTAGAAATAAACCGCTTCAGTAAACCTTCTGAATTGAGTAAGAACTGCTTATTTGTGTGTATTTTCACAAATCTATGTGCATGGAGTACCTGAAAACTTGGATGATGCTGTAAAAACTTCTGGAATAAATGGGTGAAGGGAGAGAAACGTGCAGTCTGCAGAGAAGAGAAAAAAAAAAAGTCTCTTTATGTGTAGTGAGAGAAAAAATGAACCTTCTTCCCTATTTAATCAATGCACAGCCATGAAATATTGGTTAAAATCTGAATTTCTCAATCTGTATCAAAGAGCTTGTTTGGAAAAGTAATTTCTTTGTTTAAAAGTTGATTAAACTTCAATTGTACTTTCACCCAAAAAATTTATCCTCTTTTAACTACACATCTTAGGGACTGGTCAATTTTTATTTGCTAAAAATCTATATCAAATCAACACTAAAAGTTTGAGCCAATTGATTTTTTAAAAATATTTTTGTGCCCATTACCAAAAAAAAAAAAAAACTCATTTTAAAAAACACATTATTTCAATAAAATAATTTTACGTAAATTCAAAAAAAAATCCTATTTTCTAAACACACTTCCTCCAAAAAATCACTATTACAAAACACGTTCTTTCAAAAAATGGGACTTGAACACTTAAATATGCTTAGAGAGTTAATGGTTAAAATAAATTTCAAGAGACTCTCTTTTAAAATAAATTGTGAATTTAGCTCACCAAATCCACTCTTTATTTTTACTATATGTAATTACATTTAGTAAGCTATATATTTCAATTTAAGTTAGAGCGTCTAAAAAATTTTACTCGATAACATATATGATGTTCTTTATAAATAGAGAGTATTTTAGAAATGCTATAAGCTCAAGATTTCAATTGTAGAATCAATATAAGTGGACGGGGTGGATGCAGAAGTTTAAAGTGAGGGGACACAATCGAAATTGTAAAGAAGTTAGGAGAAATTTTACAATCGAAAATTTACGTCCAAAAAAATCATACCCTATTTAATTTTGCATCTGAAAATTTACGTGGGATATAACTTTTTCGAATGTAAAATTTTGAAAATTTTTGATATCATATTTCATATAAAAATTTCTAATAAAATGATGAAAATTACATTGAGAAATTTGTGCCACAAAAATAATAAATGTTAATGAAATAATTAATTTTTTTAAAAAAATGTGAGTTAGACGTCTTTCTTTAAAACTCACGTTTAACGTATTTTTAACTATTTTCAATATCTGTTTGAACTATTCGATATGCTCATAATATAGTTCTCGAAATAAGTTTTGAGATGACATAAACAATTTGTAGATTCGATTAGTGTACAATTGTTAGAGAATTTTTAAAATTAACATACTATCGAAATTCAAATTTATTGTGATTTTGTCCCTATTAGAAATAAGTTTTGAGATGACATAATTAATTTGTATATTCGATTAGCGTGCGATCGTCGAAAATTTTTAAAAATTAGCGCGTTATCGAAATTCAAATTTATTGTGATGTCGCCCCTATTTGGTGGAGATTAAAATCAATTTTTTTAGTACATTTTGATGAAAGTTAAACAGTTATGGATTCCATAAAATATGTTATTAAAATTAATTGTTAATTTTTATTTAGATTTCAATCGATACCAAACATAATTTTATAAAAAAAAAAATCTCAAAAATTGGGGCCCACGTGCCCCAGGACCCCCTAGGGTCCGCCCCTACAAATGGAAAAATTTGGAAGAAATAATTACAAAAAAATCTCTTGTACAGTGTTTAGAGGGCTGTAAATTTTACAGCCCTCTCTAATTAGTGTGGGCCCAATTTACAGCCCTCTCTAATTAGTGTGGGCCCAACCGTACTTGTCAACATTTAAATGAGCACTTAAGTCTTCGTACAAATAGTGATTATATTGCTATCACATTTTTATTTGATGTAACACATTTTAATTGTGCTTAAATTCATTAATCTTTGCTTATTGTAACAATTATTTTTTTAACCTTTTTTTCTGTTGTATTCTTATCTTTAACATTTCATTAATTAGTACGTCTCGTTCTTAACGATAATTTATATCAAAATATTTTGTTTTCATGTTTTGAAATGAGGGAAAAAAAATTTGCAATTTTATTTATTTGTTTGTTTTTAAATATGATGAAAAAATAAGTTATTTTACATCATTTCAACAGACTTTTGGACATGAAACTGTTATCAAATACAAAATGTGTTAACTAATAAAAAGTTTGAGGATAAAAATGACAAGGAAAATCGTTAGGGACATAGGTGTCATATTGAGCAAAATTCGAGATCTTCAAATCCAATTAAAATGTAGTGTAAGAAATAAAAATTATGATGTGAATTTAATTGTCCTTGTACAAATTTATCAAATTGTTTTTCAATTTTTATTTTTATTTTTATTTTTATACCATTTAGGACTTTGAGGATCTAAATGAAACGTTAAAGTAACACTCGAGGCATGTAATTGACAGGTATGAATTAATCGCCACTCGATAATCTTTTTCTTTATTTTGTTCTTTTTAATTAAACTGGATTTTGACCCGTGCAATGCACGGATTATGTTATTTTGAAGGTTATGTTAGCGTCTTGAACGCTAAAAATTGATGAGAGCTTGCGTTAAAAAATTTTGATAAACACATTTGTATAAAAAAAAATGTTTGATAAAAGATGTAAGGGACAATCCAAAACTTGAACAAAGAGGAAGTAGTAATTTACAAGATGGAATACAATAATTTACTTGAAAATGATAATTTCATCAAGTTTCTTTTATCCTCGACTGACATAGAAATGAAGAAAAAGCTCCCTACAATGGAAATAAAAACATAGAAGAAGGTAGCAATTAGTAGTCGGAAAAACAAAATCAATCCGCCTCCAAGCTGAATAGGAGGCTGGGCCAGATAATAGTACAAGGATGGAAAAACATACAATAAGTTAAAATGGAACAGGAAAATATAATGAATATCCATGATGGGTAGTAAAAACCAAAACCTCTATGATATGTATGAATGGAGCAGTTTTGTCACCACCACAACCTAACAGATCTTGTTCACTTAGAGAAATCCCAACTAAGATGGTCACGACTCAACTACTTGGATTACAAACCATTCTTCAGAATCGATAATCAACCCTTGAACAATATAATTTCATCCTCTCCCAATCAACAAGGAAAGCAGATTTTTTTTAGCCTATGTTTGGCCCTCATTTTTTTCAAAATTCATTTTCAACCACACATTTTTTTATAAAATAATTTTATACGTAAATCGAAAAATATTATTTCTTTTTTAATTATAAATTCTCAAAAAAAATCACTATTCCAAGATACATTTTCTTATCATAATGGGGCTCAAACGTAGACTTAATATTTTAAGCTCTAATAATTATATTTATTTTGCTACATATTGCAGTAGTCTAACTAGTAATGTATTGCAAATTAATTCTCATCCACTTAGGGTTCATAACTCTTGATTAAGACTGACAGCTGTTGATTAGAAAATTAAAAAGCAACAAACAACAAATAAACTTAATTTATTTATGAACTTAATTTATTTTTTATTAAAATACAAATAATTGATTCGGATGTAAATAAAATAATATAATTTCAGGATGTGAAAGATTAAAATACTAATTACAAAGCAGGCCTGCAAAAATAATACAAAAGATATAAATAATACAACAGATAAATAAAACAAAAAAGCGAGTATTTAAAAAATTCAGTTCACGTGCATCATGATCATGGACAATATACCATGAGTTTGAAATATTAAACGGATATCATGCCAACAAGTTGACCAAAGTTCAGATTTTAATTATTGCTAAGATGTATAAGTATTAGGGCTTTTCCCTTCGTACAGAAGTACGGGTTCTATAGTTCAGATTTTAATTATTGCTAAGATGTATAGATATTAGGATTTTTCCCTTTGTACAGAAGTAGGGGTAACCCTTACACCCAGAGTCAATTGTGAACCTCCACCCTATACATGTAACATACTCCATAGGTATTATTACAATCTTCACAAAAGTCTAATTATAAAGTATTCGATCTAAGATTATAGGTGTTGACCTTTAAACGATAATCAAAAAATTCATTTCACCTAATCGGAATTTTTCCTTGCTAAACACTAATTTGATGCTTTATAGGGAGCAAGAGAGAGAATGACTATTTGAAATGAATGAGTTTTAGAATAATAATTTTTTGGAAAATATGTGATTAAAATTTTGGAAAATTTTTTAGCAGAATATTATATTGTGAGAATATAGTTAAAAATGAGTTTGACAAAAACATAAATTTGATTTTGCTTGTCAAATAGGGGCTTAATTTATAATTGAATGTATTGTATGTTTAAGTTTTATTTGCCATCCTTCGTGTCTTTCGTTGATTGGATGTGTAGTCATGCCCGATCACATGTACTTTGATAATTTTGCTGACGTGGAGAAGTTGGTGAAATTTATATTGGCTCGATAACGCGAGTGAGATCATATATGATTTTGGCTCTTAGATGATTTAGCTAGCTTTGATATGGTTCACCTCGCGGGAACATAGACTCGCTTGTATTCTATCAATTTAAGAGGTTGTTTGGCCCCCGTTTTAATGAAATTATAAATTTTAGAATACTGATTGATGGAAGAATGTGTGGTTGAAAAATACTAAAAAATTTTAGATTTGTGTGTACTATTATTTTATTTGGAGAATGTATGGTTAAAATTAAGAAATAAAAAAAATTATAAAAAAATTAATGGAGGCCAAACACTAGCTAATTGATAATAATAGGTATTATTGTCATGTTTTGATTGTGCCTAACTAAGCAAAGATCATCTAAGATTATAGGTATTTTGCCATCTATTAAAGTAACTCGTTGATTTATTCTTGATATATGGGGAAAGTCTAATTACAAAGTTTTCAAATTACAATTTTGAGTATTATTCACGTAGTGATTTGTTATGGATTTATTTATTTATTCGAAATGACGTTGGACGATATACTAGCGATTTGATGTTTTTTCTTCACTAGAGAAAGCTCAGAAAGGAGTGCAGTTCCAAATTCCAACAAATTTTGACAAATATTATTTCAAGGGATGTGCTTGGTGTACATAATATATGTACATAGGAGTGTCCGTACCCCTCACATGGGGAGTGGCTAATATATGTATATAGGGGTGTCTCGTTAGACTCAATTATAGTGTAAGTTATAGGTGAAGAGAATAACATAAATAAATTCCGTCACTCTATATAGTCTATAGCATGAGACCCAACTCACCGTCGAAATCAATACCTAAATAAAGTTACAAACCCTAGCAAACTAAATAGAGGTCAACAAATATTTGTTGGAGCTTCTCTTGTGATTAAGGAAATCAGAAAAAAAAAAAAAAAAAAATCATTTTATAAGTATATCTATACAGGGTAGATATGAGAATGTGTGTTAACAAGTTGACATGGAACTAAAATTTGGGAGGAATGGCTTGAGTAATTAGAATACATACGTTTTATAAATCAAAATACACTTCTGTTTACTAGAGAGGCTTGATCGGGGTAAAATTTACAAGAAGAGCGAGACAAAAATTCAATAAAGTGACGCGATACAATTACAAATTGTTTGATTGAAAAAAAAAATGCGATTTTAGATTTTATATAGTTTAATTATGCCCTTGTTTGATGGCCATTATAAAAAAATTGAGGGAAAATGGTGTTTTGAATAGTGATTTTAGGAGCATGCGTACTTAAAAAGTAAGATTTTTTTTTATTTACGTGTAATTTATTTTATGATGTAGGTATTTGAAAATGAGTATAAAAAATAAAGAATTTTAATTTAAAAAGAATCAAACATGGACATATTAGGAACCATTGCTTTCAGAGTAACGATATTCATCCCCACTGGGGTTACAAACATAGTCTAGGCGGTGTTAATGTGTCATTAAATAATAAGTGAAATTAAATAAGTCATTTAATTTCACATTTCATTTAACATATTATTTAGAGCTACCTAAACTGTGTTTGTAACACCACTAGAGTTGAATAACATTACTTTTGCTTTCACGAGCACTTTAACAAATATAACTTCTGTTTGTCCCCCATTAAATTATAATATGCTTTTCTTTTTCTTTTTTTTAACTACATATTTTTCAATAAAATAATATTTATACGTAAAACGGAATTTTTTTTCTCATTTTCAATCACCCATTCTCCAAAAAACACTATTTCCAAATTGTAATATCAAATTATACATAAATTCGTCTGATCTATCCTTGATAAATTAAGTTTTTATATAAAATAATCAAATATAATATCAGAACACCACTCATAAATGAAATTAATAAGAAACTGAAAATAGTATGACGTGAAGAGGCACGTTCGATACATAATTTTTATATATATAATGTTTCATTCAAAATGGTCCTAAATCTTGAAAGCTGACAGCTTATTTCTCAATTTTTGACTTTTTGTTCATAGGAGAATTTTATAATGTTATAGGTCATAGTAAATCACCAGAAATCTTCAACCGTGATTGAAACACAAAATACCCATATATGATCTCTGAGGTATGGAAAATTTCTTACCGTTCAATTTCGTTAGTTTATGAGTTAAAAACAATAAAAATTGCCAAATTGTAGTTGCGATCCAAAACTTTTTATCTTTGACAGATTACATCCAGACTTTTTGTTTGTATCAACCACAATATCAAACCTTTAAAACTTTTTCTTCCTCAATTTGAAATTTCTTTTTGATTTTTTATTTCAATTATTTTATATGAAATAATATAAAATTACAATTTTACCTTTTCAAATTGGGAGATAAGATAAAGTTTTAAATTTTTCAGATTATGGTTGACGCAAATAAAAAGTTTGGCTATAATCTGTAAAAAATAAAAAATTTGAGATCACAACTATAATTATCTTTTTAATTTTGACTATTTTTACTGTTTTTAACACCTAAGTTAACGAAATTGAACGTTGGGGGTCTTTTGCACCCTAAAGGTCATATAGGGGTCGTATTCGCAATTTCTATGGTTTTAAATGTTTTAATACAATATTTATTACCGTGGAAACAATATCCACGATTTTTAAGACAATTTTAGAGCCTGTTTGGTATGGATTTTGATTTTCTACAGTAAATCAATTCTCATTTTCAACCACACATTCTTCAATAAAATAATATTTTTCATCACATCAATAATTTTTTATTCTTTTTCAACCACACATTTCCCATCATGTCACTATTCAAAAATCAATTATTCCCCCCAAAAATCTCTACCAAACACACTCTTAGGGTGTATTTGATGGATATTATTTTGGAAGAATGTATTTTGGAATAGTAGATTGATGAAGAATGTGTGGATGAAAAAGAAGGAAAAGTTATTGATGTGATGGAAAATATTATTTTAATGAAGAATGTATGGTTGAAAATGAGTTGAAGAATGAGAATAAAAATTTTAATGGGTACCAAACAGGACCTTAATGTCTTAGTCCTTGTTTGGCAAGGTTTTTTGAGATTATAAGTTCCTGTTTGGGATCCATTTTTTCAAAACTTATTTTCAACAATATATTCTTGTATAAAATAATATTGTATGTAAACTCAAAATATTTCTTTATTTTTTAACCACACATTCTTCCAAAAATCATTATTTCAAAATACATTTCCCCCCAAAAAAGTCACTCCTTTTGATTACCTTATGCTAACTTCCATTATGAGTCTGGACATGACTAGTTTTATATTTCGTCCACAATACTAACGTGTAAACATCGGAATGTTTCCCCGCGTTGTACTTGGTGCCAGGATGCTCACATGCACATCTTCTAGCTTGCTGATTCATGCACCACGTACAATCTCTTGAAGTATACTCGCTTAAAAGGAGCTCTCCTAACTCTGTCCGAAGTATTGAGGGTCATTCGCGTGCCAACAACGCGATCCTTATTCTCTACACTTTCTACGGGCATTTTGGTTAACGTTTGCAACCTTGTCCAATTTTTTCAAAACTCATTTTTAACTACACATTTTTCAATAAAATAATTTTACACGTAAATCAAAAAAATTTCTTACTTTTCAATCACACATTCTAAAAAAA